CCCAGAGTCACCCCCGCGCCACGATGAGGCGGTAGACCATCGCGGGGGAAAACGCGATAGGAATAGTACACAGATTGTACTCATATCTTTGCTCAAAACCTATTTGCGGACATTGTCAGTACCCATGTAAGAAAAACAGTTATCAATTCATTTTTATGTTGATCCTGTACAGTGGCTACCTACCATATAATAGTTACACCGCCAACGTCGGTTCCTATAAGAAATGGACAATATTTTGGAATCAACTTTGATGAAATCTCTGGATCAAGCCTAGAGCTTCTTTTTTTGAGAGCTTCAAATCTATTCCGAGAATATAGTATAAGATATGGCAGTTTCTGCAAAGTCCGCCATGTATTCATACTGTTGTAAACGTCTTAATAAGTGAGTATATCTTTGAAAGGCCATGAATAGACCTGTTCTTGGAAAGAAAACAGTCGTTACAAAGCTTGTTACGAATTTGATGTAAAGGCATCTAAATATTGAGTTAATTTCACTTTTGAACGACTAACTGGAACAACAAGATGAAAATGGGTGGGATAGTTTGGCTTGTTCAATAGGAGCGAATTTCAGGGTTGCTGCTTATGTGATCTATTAAGCTGCGTTTATGCAGTCATCCTTTTTAACTTATAGAGTAAAGGATGATTCATAAAACGAACGGTGTGACACTTATATCGAGGATGTGTGTGAGCTATATAAGCTGGCGAAGCACACTCGCTCTTGTAGAAAATGTCATGAAGTTGCGAATATGTTATGCACCTCAGTGATTTTCAGCTTTTTCCATTTTACTGAAGCAGTGATCCTTTCGAACGCCTCAAATAGCTCATACCGATCTATCCGAATATTTGGATATGCGGATTTTGGGAATATTCGCATGATGCAAATAGTCACATTTTCTAAATACTGGCAATACTCGCAGTATACAAATAATTGAAAAACCGGGACACCTGCATGATGGCATTGTTTGCAAAATCCAAACATTCGGGAAATCCGAATCGCATTAAATAAGTATTCCAATATTTTGACTTCGAGTATTTTTTTGAATATTCGAGGAATAAGTAAGAGGTATCTACTTCAC